TGTAAAATAAACAAATGGGTTTGGCGCATGGATCTATGATAATAACGGATTTTGGCGTAATGAATTTTGCTTATGCAGCAATCGAAACTCATGACGTCGCAGAGTGGTCCTACTGCAGTGGAGACACGGACACTGAGAGGACCGAGGGAGAGGATTGTTCCTGTAAAAGTTCCACCCCGCTCCTTTTACCAGGAACTCCTGCAGTGGAAACGCGGCTATTTTTCCGTTTTATTATAGTTTTTAATGGTAAAAAACAATGTGTGAAGTTTCTTCTTTCAAGTTCAATTGTTTTGAGTTACAGACACACACACACACACACACACACAAATAAGCACACAGACACATGCACACACACACACACACACACACACACACACTGCTCTGGGAACGTCCTGTAATAAAGCTTCTGTCTCTGAATCTCTGGGGAAAAGCCTCCGTTATCAAATCACCTGCTTTTACTGAAATCATATTAACGCAGATCTCATCTCGTGGCGGCAGCACTTCATTTCCATGTTTCTGATTTGATTTGAGCTCGTTCACATTTGCCTGGGAGCACTATCCAGGAACAAAACTCTTCACCAAAGCAATACTCTCGCACACAGCTCTCCGACCGGCAAACTGTGGCACAGATGGCCCTAATAAGTAATATAAGTGTGAAACACAGACTTTGTGCTGTGTAATCTGCCTCTATCCTCTTATTACAATATTCTGAGGCTGCAGCGAGCACAGAGCAGTTCTGAGATGTCTTTTACCCGCTGTCCCATTGTCTGTATCATGGCGCGATGATTGGACCCTGAATCTGGTCTCTTGTGGGCAGAGGCGTTCCTTGCCATTACGCAAGGCAGGCTGCCTGGGGCCCCCAAACCGGCAGGGGGCCCCCGAGGGCCGACTGATTTGACACAAGCGGTCAACTTGGCTACAACAGCTACCTACAGTGATGAGTTGGCGGATAAAAACTTTTCGTCTGATGCAAAACTTGCCACGTTCTTAATTAACAGTCAAAAAGCCTGCCTGGTGATAAACATGTATTGCATGTAATGGTTGTCCAGTGGTACCTGGGTTCGAATCTGGGTGATAAATCTGTATTTATTAAATTATAGATACTACATTCTATGACAGATTGCTCAAGAACGGTAAAAGGTAAAAACATGCAGTTTTTTGGAGATTAAAGAAGAGAAAAAGAGCCCAATCTTTCATTTGGCCCTCAGTGTCTATGACTAAATAAACACCAAGGGCCAAAGGAAAGATTAGATTTTGTAGGATGAATACACTTTGATAGGTAGTTTTTGTAATTAATTATAACATGATGAGTGTAGTGAACCATCTTATAAAAAGACATGCTAAATTATTTCTCATTCCTTTGTGTCACAATAAGTACTGAAGTACTCACAATTTTCTATGGTAGACTGTACAGTCTGCCAGGCAGGCCCCAGGCCTATCCATTTATTGTTAAAAATAAGAAATTATCTACATTTAATTTATATTAATGTAAACAAGTAATAGATAATGCATTTTACCTTATTATGAAATATATATTTATACCTACTGTAATAAAAACTTGTTTATGTGGTTATTTGGTCGGTTTCAGGGCCTGGGGCCCCGGGGTACCCTTGGAATGCCACTGCTTGTGGGCTACAGCCTCAGCCTTAGGTTTCTGAGTGGTTCTTTGCCGACGGAGGAGAGTCTAAGGACAGTGATGATCTGGGACATTTCTGAACAGTGGTCATTCCGCCCCTTTATGGCCTCTTGTGTGATTATTAGGCCCGAGCCCCAAATGGTGGTGAATGCAAATGGTGGCGGTGCGTATGCGTCCGTCACTCACCCCGACGTGATAATTGCGTGCGTAAACTCAAACGCTTTAAAATTATGTATTACGTGCCATTGAAACCTATATTGTTTTTGCTCAAGACGTCGAAAAAAAATTCCTTGGTTTGGTTTGGTTTCTTTTTTCTCCTGCTCTTGGTCAAGTTTGTCGTGCCATGAAATTTGGTACACATGTTCCTCAAGTCAAGACAAGAAAAAAATATTATTATGGCCCCGCCCTCTGACAAACAGGAAGCCCATGAATTTTATTGCAAAATGGAAAAATTAACAGCAATAGTTTTCATACATGTCGGTTGGAAATCTTCTCCTCCTCGGCCGTTTCACCAATTCACCTCAAAATCGCTCCACATCATCTCAACACATGTACCTTCTAAATGACCAAGGGGATTTTTGATCAGCGAAACGTTATTTGAGCAGCGGAGCGGCAAAGTGTAGCGTTTTTTTTGGCCGTTTTTGCCCATGATAAATTTGCTCCCGTTTGCATATACAAAGTCTGATTTGCACAAAACTTTAATACATGGTTCAACTCTAGGGTCTAGGTCAATTAAAAATGAAATAAATGAACTTGGCTCATTAGCGCCCCCTAGAGATGGTGTCAACGTTTTTAGTATGGGAGGGGTTCGAGGATCAAGTTTGTTGTAGAGCCATGACATTTGGTACACATGTTCCTCAACTCAAGACATGAGATAAAAGTTATCATGGCTCTGCCCCTTGACAAACAGGAAGCCCGTAAATTTCGCTTAAAAATAGAAAAATGTTGGTTGGAAATCTTCTCCTCCTCGGCCGTTTCACCGATTGGTGAAATATTTGAAATTGGCTCATTAGCGCGCCCTACAAACTGAGGCAAAGTTTTACATGGGGAGCCAAACAGCTCTACTTATCATATTCATTACAATTTGACTAACATTCTTCCATGGCTACAGGAACAAATCATCACACGGCGGCGCAACCTTCTTTGCGCGGTGCTGCGTGGTACGGTGTGGTGCGGCATAGTGCGGGGCGTTGTTGAGCGGCGCGTTGCGGCTTGGTGCGGGGCGGCGTGGTGCAGATTCGCTTGGTGCGGGGCGGCTTGGTGCGGGGGCGGCGTGGTGTGGGGCGGCGTGATGCGGGGCGGCATGATGCGGGGCGGCTTGGTGCGGAGCGGCTTGGTGCGGGGGTGGCGTGGTGTGGGGCGGCGTGATGCGGGGCGGCATGATGCGGGGCGGCTTGATGCGTGACGGCTTGATGCGGGATGGCTTGGTGCTGGAAGGTGTGCGCGGTGCTGCGAGGGCCGTTTGACGCCGCTTGCGGCTTTAATTATTATTGTATTCATGTGCTTGAAGTGTTTGATTATCTGCTCTGTTGTTGGTGAAGTCCTTCGAAGGAACTGCTGTTAGGCTTTAGGGTGATACAAAAATACATTCAATTGAACTGAGAGTCACAACGACGGATGCTGGGAAAGAGTAAACCCTACTAATTCTATTTAGATTAGTTTATTTTATTGTTTTTTTGTTGGGACAGTGCATACACCTCCTGATTTTTCCTTGTACTAATTTTCACCTCTCCCAGTTGCATTCACATAAACACACCAATCCTTCACCCTGAACTATTGTATATGTGTTGGTGTCCTGTACATGCAGTGGTATAGGCGAAACCGAAGCACCTGCAGAAAACCTCAGCAGGCACGAGAAGAACATAGAAAGGTCCTATGCAGCAATATTTCTCATATCACTAGTTTTAGACCGCTCTTTGTAATGACACTATAGCATGTACAAACTAAAACATTGAATGTGTGTGTGCGTTTGTGGTGTGTGTGTGTGTGTGGGTGTGTGTATGTGATAGTAAAGTCTGAAGTGTATTTCAAACTAAATAAGGTTGAAAACTTACTGTAACTAATCTGTAATCTTTACACATATTCTGTTTGAGTTTGTACTCTAGGGTTAGTGCCGTTGTCCATGCTGGGGCCCCCAGAGCCCCCCCCCGTACCTCTCAACTGTCCTGGGAGATGAGGTGTGGTGACAAGCTTTTTTTGGTTCATCTGAGGCAACGCGAACCCGCTGGTTACCATGGAAACAAAGGATTTTTAACTTGTAAAACTTGGCTTGTGTTTCAAAGGTGGCTAAAGATGCGTATCTCGCGCTGGGTAAAAACTCTTGTTGTCTTTGGAGAGGGAAGAACTCTGCAGCTGTGTCTGTTATGGTGAAGAGGGAGCAGTGTCTGTAGTCAAAGCTCTATGTTCCCTCCCTTTCCTCTTGTACCTGAGCTTTGAGTAGCTGGACACTCCCTTGAATAGTATGTACTTTTAGAGCACAAGGACGAATTAATGAAAACAGAGAGAAACGCTAGAAACTCATTTTGCTAAATTGTTTTCATGACCCCTGACTGCCACTAGGCAAGTAAAACAGAACAGGAAATGCTCATGCTAAGACAAAAACCAGGAAAAGAGGCTGTGAGATTCTTAGAGTTAGAGGGAGGAGCTTGGAGTAGAGCCGCTGCTCCCTTAGAGATAGAGTGAGGAGCCCAGTCTCACATCAGGAGCTCGGAGTAGAGTGGTTGGCTCAGGCATCTGGTTGCGATGCCTCCTGAACACCTCACTGGAAAGGTGTTCCGGGAAAGACCCAGGACACGTCCCTCCACTGGCCTTGGAATGCCTCGAGATTCCCAGGGAATCATTTTCCGGTTTTATCCAGCCAACTTCAGCTCCACCAATATAGTCATGCAATACCTTGTTGTAAAGCGCAGACCCTTTATAATTCAGGTTGTTTATTTGTATTTATTGCGTCACAAAATTCCATACAAGGCACGAATGTATCTGTGGCGTTCATCAATATGGACACATACCCCATTTTAAAGCCCAGAACAGACAGAATCCATCCATCCATCCCGAGTTTTAGAGTCCATGTTATCGGCCCCTACTGGACAACAGTGGCCCCTGTTATGTAAAAGTTTGGACACCCCTGGTCTAAACTGTTCCAGGGAAGAAGGTAAAGCCACAGGGACTCTTCATTGTATTGAAGCCAGAGATGACATAAGGGAAAGTGAATCCATACATCTCTCATACCACACATGGATGAGACGTGGAGGACCCTGTACAGGATGCTCCCATCTCTGTCCAGGCCCCTACACTGAAATCACTGATGTGGATATCAAAAAACAAATGACAAATGAATAGAGGACTTGTTTGTTTGAACACAAACTGGCCGCACGCTCTGTGGTGGGGGAGAGGATCGGGAGGTCTCTGATGCAGCCTGTGTGGGGGAGAGGAGCTGGGGGTCTCTGGTGCAGCCTGTGTGGGGGAGAGGAGCTGGGGGTCTCTGGTGCAGCCTGTGTGGGGGAGAGGAGCTGGGGGTCTATGGACACGACATGAACTCTTCAGCACCAGCTGTCCGTCGCTCAGTGTGCCTCTTCGTAGAGCTTGCTTTGAGATTGGCATCGGGATGACGCATTTCTGTAGCCTGAAAAGCATTTTTGAAGAGCCCAATTAGCAGCATGTGGCAGAAAAAAAGAGATTGAGATCAGCTCTGAAGTAGAAAAGACATGCTGTAGCCAGTATTTATAGACCGTATCTGTTCAGAGAAGGTGACATGTTCCGGAAAAATTTGTTCCCTGTTCGTTTACCCACTCAAAGTTGAATTTAGACATAGGAAATGACTAGAGGTCATGTGTACATGAGGAGTGGACTGACTGACTATGACATCCCAATAGTGCTAGCTCTGTTGCGGATGAGGCAAATTTGAACATAAGTTAGCTGTAGCCAAATTCCTTATATGGGCATTTGTCAACAGGAGCAGCCATGTAACTCCTCATTCTGCAATGTTCAGCCAGACATCCTTCTGCTTCCTAAAATATCTCCAAAACCTGTCAAAGGGCTTTTTATTTTCCTGTTGGATCTTTGCCCTAATTATCAGGCTTACTCACCTGTGTTGTGCTAAGGCTTGTGCTGGGGGAAACTTTTGACTGTTGTGTTGTTCATCAAAACAAACTCTCAAACAAGTTATTTCAAATGAACAGATGAGCTTGTGCTCAGCTTTTTGCATGTCCAACAAAACATCTGTTATCACAGGAAGTGCTCTCTTACTTAGTGCTCTCTGACTGACATCCACTGACTTGACTCACTAGGGACACCACCAGGCTGGTAAATGGCATGACACGGAATGCATATCAAGACATCTCCCTTTCTTTAAAGTCAGAATCCTTACACAATGCAAAGAATAAAACATTGTAAACATGTTATTTAGCTTAGCTCACTGTTATTTTTGTTTTTATATCACCAAGTGCAAAAACAATAAAAAACAACAAAATGTGGTTAACACATTCACAACATCAGTCTATCAGGCTTCTTAGTCTGACGTCCAGACCTTCTCAGAACTGGTGCTGAAGATGCCTCTTCTTCAGCAGATTCCTTTACAGGTATTGTGTCAGTTGGAATAGACACAGCATGTTCATCTTCAACATCACAACTGGACTCTTGGAAGTGTTCCTTGGTCTTCAGTAGGTGACGACGATTCCTTCTGAGAACGCTTCCATCCTCAGTCCTCACTTCATACGACCTTGGACCAACTTCCTGAAGAACTGTTGCTTTTCGATTCCAGGCATCTTGGTCTCGAATTCTCACAACATCCTCCTTTGCAAGAGTTGAGAGAGGTTTGGTCGATCTGTCAAAGTAATGTTTTTGTTTTAATTTGAGCTTGTCCATTTTTGAGTGTACCTCAGTACGTTCTCTCATCTCTGTGTAGCTGGGTAGAGTTGTGCGCAACTTCCGATTCATCAACAGCTCAGCAGGAGATAAACCACACTCAAGAGAAGAGGATCTGTAACTCAAGAGAGCAAGATAGGGATCTGATTTGCTGTCCGTGGCCTTTCTCAAAAGCTGTTTGACGATATGCACCCCTTTCTCAGCTTTTCCGTTTGCTTGGGGATGCTGAGGACTGGAGGTCACATGATTAAATCCATACAGTCTAGAAAACTGCTGCCATTCCTTGCAGTTGTAACATGGTCCATTGTCACTTACTACAGTCTCTGGGATTCCGTGTCTGGCAAAAAAAGATTTAACATGTGTAATGACACTTGATGCTGTTGTACTTGTGAGCAAGGCAATTTCAGGATAGTTGGAGTAAAAGTCAATAACTAACAGATAGTCTTTCCCATTATGGTGAAATAAATCAGTTCCTACTTTCTCCCATGGAGCTGCGGGAAGATTTGGAATCAACATAGGCTCCCTTGCCTGTTTGCTCTGGTACTTCTGACAAGTTTCACATTTTCCAATCATATTTTCAATGTTTTTATTAATGCCAGGCCAATAGACTGTATCTCTGGCTCGTCTCTTACATTTTTCGACTCCCAAGTGCCCCTCATGTATTCTCTGTAGAATTTCATTTCTTAAACTCTGAGGAACCACTATCCTTTTTCCCCTTAGCAATAGTCCATTTGCCACACTGAGCTCTGATCTAAAGTTGTAATATTTTGGACAAGACCCTCTGGGCCAACCACTTTGAATGTGAGAAACAACTGTTTGCAGTTCTGTGTCTCTCATTGTTTCTTCACATATTTGTTTTTGATTTTGAATCAGACACTGGTAGGGACCCAACTACCATGTTCACGTGTTCCTCTACCTCTTTCTCTGTGGAACTTGTCTGATTCAGTTCTGTCGCTCGTGACAGCGCGTCTGCCAACACCAAATGTTTGCCTGGTGTATAGATTAATTCAAAGTCATACCTCTGTAGTTTCATGATAAGACGTTGAATTCTGGGTGACATTTCATTCAGGCTCTTCTTAATTATGGACACAAGCGGACGGTGGTCTGTCTCAACTGTAAAAGTAGTAAGGCCATACACATAACAATGAAACTTTTCAAGTCCAAAAGCCAACCCAAGACATTCCTTCTCAATTTGAGCATACTTCATCTCTGTTTTTGTCATGGATCTAGATGCATATGCTATTGGTCTCCAGCTCTCACCTTCTGCTTGGAGCAAGACAGCACCAAGTCCATCCTTTGATGCATCAGTGGAAACTTTCTGTCTTTTCGTGGAATCATAGTAAGCAAGCACAGGTGCAGTAGTTAGAGTGGTTTTGAGCACGTTCCACTCACGCTCATGTCTTGTGGTCCACTTAAATATTGTTGAGTCATGAAGAAGCTCCCTCAAAGCTGATGTTTTCACTGAGAGATTGGGTACAAACTTCCCAATGAAATTAATCATTCCCATGACTCTGAGTACACATTTTTTATCTGCAGGGCGTGGCATGTTAAGAATGGCTTTTATTTTCTTCTCATCTGGCTCAATACCATGTACAGACATTTTGTCTCCTAAGAACGTGATTTCTTTCACACCAAATTGGCATTTCACTCGATTTAGTTTTAGTCCATTTTCACGCACACGTTGGAGTACTCTTTTTAGCCTCTCATTGTGTTCTTGTTGAGTAGATCCCCAGATGACAACATCATCGACATAGCAGCGAACACCCTGAAGTCCCTCCAGAAGATTGTCCATTGCACGATGAAAAATCTCTGACGCTGAGATGATTCCAAATGGCATTCTCAAAAATCTGTACCTGCCATAGGGAGTATTGAAGGTGCAGTACTTGGAGCTTTTCTCATCCAACTTTATTTGCCAGAAACCCTGAGCCGCATCAAGCTTGGAGAAATATCTAGCTCCTGCCATCTCACTTGCAATCTCCTCACGTTTTGGAATCTGGTAATGCTCACGTTTGATGTTTTGGTTTAGATCACCAGGATCCATGCATATTCTCAGTTCTTTGTTTTGGTTCTTCTTGTCCACACACACCATGGAGTTCACCCACTCTGTTGGTTCCTCCACTTTGGTAATAACCTGCATTTGACACATCCTGTCCAGCTCCTTCTTCAAACGGTCCCGTAATGGTGCAGGAACTCTCCTCGGAGCGTGAATAACTGGCGTCGCATTCTCCTTCAGTTGTATCGTATAGGTGTATGGCAGACAGCCTAAACCTGTAAATACATCCTGATACTGTTGTACAATGCTCTCAACAGTCTGTGAGTGTTCTGGACAGCTAATGTGATAGACTCTTTTAACCAAATGCAGTCTCTTTGAAGCAGACCCACTAAGCAGTGACTCACGACCCTCAGGTACCACAGTAAACAGCACAAAGTAGTCTTTATTCTTTACTGTTACTTTTAGTCTGCACTGACCTCTGCTTTCTATTTCTTTTCCATTATAGTCTTTTAGAAGCACATTATTAAGGACTATCTTGGGCTTTTCTTTCATTGCATGAATTTCTGACATGCTGATAAGATTAGCTTGGGCCCCTGTATCAATCCTTAAAGCAACCAATGCTCCAGTAATGGGGAGAGACACAACCCATGTGTCTTCTTTGACTGTGTTAATGTCATTGTCATCTCTAACTTGTGTCTTCTCATCACATAACACCATCCCCACAAAGAAAGTCTCACTTAGGTCTGTTTCATCTACTAACCGTACTGATTTGGATTTGCCTTTTGATAGACATTGCTTTGCAAAATGGTTTTTTCCACTACATTTAGCACATGTTTTCCCATAAGCAGGACACTGTCTGGGTTCATGCCTGTTACCACATCGTTTGCATGAATATGTTGTGTCATCTGTTTTTCTCTGCATTAGCCTTGCTTTTGTCTTATTTTTGACCACAGCTACTTTAGCACTATCATGGACTGCAGTTGCATTCAATGTAGAATCATTAAATGTCTTTGCATGCTGCTGGGCTAACTCGGTGGCATGGCACATTCTCTCTGCCTCCTCCAAAGTTAGTTTAGCCTCTCTTAGCAGTCTTTCCCTCGTCCTCTTATCATAGATGCCATAGACAATTTGGTCACGTATCATGGAGTCCTTCAAATCTCCAAAATCACAAGACTGTGCTTTAAGTTTCAAATCCGTCACAAAGCAATCAAAAGTCTCATCTTGCTGCTGCATTCTTGATCTGAACACATATCTTTCATATACTGTGTTCTTCTGCGGCGAGCAATGGGCAGTGAACTTTTCCAGAACTTTATCATACTTCTCCTTGTCTCCAGGTTCTTCAAATTCAAAGGTATTGAAGATCTCTATGGCTTGAGGGCCAGCTACAGTGAGCAGAAGAGCAATCTTTCTGGCATCAGACTTGGAATCGAGTCCCAGTGCAGCTAAATACAGTTCAAATTGCTGCCTAAATGTGCGCCAGTTGCTGTCCACATTACCCACAAGCTTCAGTCCTTCTGGTGGCCTCAATGCATCCATCTTGAGCAAAACTGGAGTCAAGCGTTGTATTCACTCCTGGTACCATGTGTTGTTCATCAAAACAAACTCTCAAACAAGTTATTTCAAATGAACAGATGAGCTTGTGCTCAGCTTTTTGCATGTCCAACAAAACATCTGTTATCACAGGAAGTGCTCTCTTACTTAGTGCTCTCTGACTGACATCCACTGACTTGACTCACTAGGGACACCACCAGGCTGGTAAATGGCATGACACTGAATGCATATCAAGACAGTTTGGCTCCAACTCACGCTATTGACTTAAAGCTGCATTACCTCACTTCATTTTTGTATTCATTACAAAAATTCAATCCATATCCATGAAATGTATTGGAATATTCTGTATGTCCTTTTGAAGAAAAAGTAGCGCAGATTTGTGCTGGCGTGTCATTTTATTTTCGATTGAGTTTTTGTGCAACAAGGAAGAGAATTTGTTTTGGGACCAGATTGTGACCAATCACAGCGGACCATTGACCCCCCACTCTCTTGAGAAAAGCCACAGGTCTCTTGTTAGCACAGACAGCTGAGGTAATCAAGAGGCGGAGGCTAACCTGAAACTTCCCGTGTCTGTCCCGGTCACTGCTTACACAGCAGAACAGCCATCCAAAAGAAAGTCTCGGTCCTCCGCGCTTCCCGGTTCTATCATTCTATGGTCACGCCATCCACGTTCAAATGTGCGATCCATATTGTGAGATGTGAGCTCCGTAAACAATTAGCACATGAGCACAGGCTGAGGGGGGTACTCCGGTTTCCCCTACCACTAAAACATGCATAATAGGTAAAATTCCTCCAAC